CTGCGCGCCATGCGGGACCCTCCTCCGGCGGCCGGGGAGCATCCAGGGATCGAACCAGCGCCGCAGAGGCTGCGGGCAGCTTCACAACCCAGCACTCAACCGCTGCACCACTGGGAAGGCCCTCCTAGCATGATTAATGAGTGCTGATTGCTTGTACTTTAACTTCAGCCTTACCACCTCCTAACAGTGTGATCTCTGTACCTGAGTTTCCTCACTAGTAAAAGAGGGACAACACATCTTCCTCGAAAAGTTGTGAGGCTTAAATAACGTGGGAAAAATCAGTGCACAGTAAGAAAGAGCTCAATGAACCCCAGCTATTATCTCCTTTAAAAGAAAACCCACATAACTCAATTAGGAGTTATTAAGTAGATAAAATGCTGACAAGGGACAGTGTTGTTCCCAGTGTTTACATCACAGGCAACAGTGGAATCAGTTTTGGTGAACTACACTAGGAAAGTTTTGGGAGCACAGAGCCTAATCCAGAACTCTTAGGCTAGCTGCACAAGTCCTGCCACATTATTTTAGAAACCTTGTAATATCATTGGATTTTACTGAACCCCAATGAATGAATTACTGAGAAGATCCACTGTACTTCTTTCATTATCTCTATTTTTAGGCAAATCATTGAACCCATATGGGTACATTAGTAAACAAAATTTAACAGGCACTGAAAAGAAAGGTACTAGAGGCACAGAAGGCAAAATTGGCAAAAACTTGACAGATGAAAAGCACATATGAATTAACTGGACGATTTTAACTTTGCAAGTTTAAAGTTTTCTATTCAAAAAGGGAAAACTAAAAAATCTATGTTCCAATACTGAGAGAACAATTATTTATGGGCTGAGATTAAAATTTTCAGTGCCAGCAAACACTGACTCCCAAGCAAGACAGTTATCTCATGTGGCACAAGACAGTTATTTCATGTGGCTCCAGTTACGACAAAGCTGTGAAGGTGCACGAGAGTGAATATAATTCTATTATAAAATGTGAAAATGGTAAGAAATTCTAATATGATTATTTCATAAAATTCAATTTTAAGCATCTGATTGATTTTTTTTCCTTTATCAAGGATCTTTGGAGCTTCTCATTGGAAAAAACACAAACAGACTTATATTTATAGTGGCAAAGTATTTAGATTCACAAGTTAGTTGCCAAAATTAAAAAAACACAGCAAACTAAAATTCTAAGTGATTTCAAAAACAAGCTTTCAGTCTTCTCTTAAAACATGCTGGCCAAGCTGGCTTTCATCACATTATAGCAACAACTAGTTCAAGCTCAATAATGACCTCTCTATTTTAGATGAGCTCTCTAGTTTGCAGGTTCCACCAGTCCACTGCATCAGCCTGACACTAAAACTAAAGCAAAACATCAAATGCTATCATGCTTTTTCCTTAGAGTTATGCTGCTTCATTTATTACCTGATTGCCAGCAATGTTTACCCCTGCTATGAAATATAGACATTTTATTAATCTTTACCCATTTCATCCAATTTCTCCATGTCCCGGATAATCTGTTTGGGATCTTTCATCTTCAAAACCGCAGCTCGTACCATCATTCGTTGCTTTTTGTTCTTAGAAAAAGGAAAGGACAGAATGTCAAGAAGCTGGGTACTCACAAGTATTTCAATTTGCTTCAAGAATCCATGTAAACTGAAACTGAACTTACTTGGTTTCTGATTACTTGTTTCAACCACCAGAAAAAGGGCTATGTAATTTTCTGCTCTCAAAAATGTTTCAACTTTAGAAATATGTATTATTCAATAGATCTGTTTTCTTAGATAAGTATTTCCTTTAACTTTGTGAGATATCTTTAGCATTTACCCAAAAACAAATTTTAATTTTTTCTTTTTTAAAAAAAGGGTTGTAGCTAAATTCTAAAACTATGTATTAGAGAAGTTTTGAAGATTTAATGTTAAACAATGAATCAAGAACACGCAATTACAAACTATTAAAAATCTGAGTTCTCTGAATGCTGTTAAGGCATGTTACTAAAAAAAGTAAATCCTTTCCTATTTTGGGGTAGCACTCTGCTATAAACTCAAAATGGCTACATAATCAGGAAAATGAGTGCATATTTATTTCCATCCAGTCGCTTTTAACAAAGCAGTACAGCAAAAAAGTTCTCAAAACTACTTAGCTCACGTGGAAATTTAACTGATGTTATAACCCCCCATCACACATTTCACTTTAAACTATAGTATTTTGGCTTAGGAAATTAGCTAAAGCAGCACAAGGTACCTTTTGTGGCAAATAACTGAAAATGTTATTTTCAAGCAACATTTATAAATAATAGGATGCTTCTGAAATCCTACCTTCTTTAATTCTCTCTTCCGGGCTTCCTTTCCTTAAAAGAGAAGAAGAAAATGTGAAAACCTTCAAATCCTGAACATTAATACTTTCTCAATTTAACATAGGTAAACCTTATATTGGGAGGCTTTCCTGTGCACTGTTGGACATTTACCAGATACCTTGCCTCTTACCCACTAGATGCCAAAAGCATCTTTCTAATTATGTCAACCAAAAATATCAAGAAATCTGTTTCACGTTTCATTAGAAACCAACTATGAAAAGAATCTGTTGTAAAAACAAATCTGCTGAAAATTTTAAATATGAAAAAAAGCTTTAAGCCAATTCTACTTTGCAAATTAAACAACTGAAAGTAAGAGTACTGACTTTTCTACACTTTTAAAGTTTTAATTATGTGCTCACAATAACAACGAACTGCTAACACTTAGCTGATTAAGTCATTAAAATACAGTGAAGTAGATTCCCTGAAGCTTGCAATTTTTTACCACACTCCCATCTTCATTCTTCATTAATGGGCACTTACGGGCCTGGTCTGTGGGGTTCATAAATTTTCCACTCTTGGTGGATGATGTCGATCTCCGTCCCATGTTGACAATTTGTATGGTTTTCCTCGTTCATTAAAAAAAAAAACAAAAACCTGCAAGGACAAAGAAAGAAGCAATTTTTCTTCTATTTGCAAGATTTCTTCCTTTACATATATGAAATTCCATTCCACCAACTCTGAAAAGAAACACTCCTTTGATTATCTTTTGAAACCTTATTCTTTCCCTTGTCTTGACTTTAGTGTCCAAGATACCTCAGCTTTCTCACCCAGAAAGAGCAGATTACCTCCTATCGTTTATAATATGACTTAAGATCATCCTGAATATCACTAAGTCACTAATTTAAACTCTTCTGAATGGCAGCGCTCATGGCAATTGAAAGAAAAAAAATGGAAATACTTATGAGCATGAGAAAAACCACTGGTGCTTTTTACAACATTCTCCCTTTATTTATATAGAGTGAAAGAGAAATTAAAAAGGACAGATTAATGATCTGGATTCAGTGACAAATAGTTCACCCTAAATTCTGTAACTGATTTAAGGTGGCACGCAATCCAAACACCTCTAAGATAGTAAAAACTCATTTAAGTCTATTTAATCCAGCTTTAGTTTTAATTCAAAAGCTTAAAAAAAAAACTAAAAACGCTAATATTTCAGATTTAAGTATATCTGAGGGACCTTCCTTCAGTATTAAGATATACAGAGAGATATCTCTCTCTCTATATTCTCTTACTAGTACCCACTTGATTCGTGATTTGTGTTTTTAAGATAACTTTAAGGGATAAGTGAAGAAAAGTACGATTAAAAATCCAAGTTTGACTTGATCTAAGCCACTATTACGTCACCTTTTTCTCTTATTCCAAATGAATGCAGCTTAACTCTTGCTATTTATTCTTTCCAATAGTAAAGGGTGACTTATTTCCTTCCTTATTAAATTAGACGCTTGTAAAAGGTGGGGGAGGGAAGAATACAAGGTAACGTTTATAGCAGACCATACAATTACACCTTTCCTTTATGGAGCTCTTATCAAATTCATTCATTGACGCCTCTTTCAGTAAGTGTTCAATTACCTTGCCTTCTGCTAAACGCGTCAACCTATTTCAGCGGCAAATAACTTACTGTTCCAACAGTTTCCTCCAACAGTTTCGCGTGCAGGCGAAAACAAACAAAATGAATACAAATACAAGCTCGCCTATCTTTGACGGCCTGAATCTTTTTTGCTTTCCTCCCTTTATTACCCTCCAATTCATATTTTGACCCTCCTCTCCCACAAGTGAGACACAGAACAGATACGAATTACAGAGAATTTTTGCAGCAAACATGATCGCCTCAGTGTGCACAAACGACTTTTTTGGTATCAAGGCAGAGGGGAACGCGCCCCCAAACCGTGGGGGACTCTAAACAGTCAAAGGCTCCAGGAGGACGGAGCCCAGGTCTACCGAAGACGGGAATCGCAGTAGCAACTGCCGAAACCATAGCGACGGTTGACCCTGACTCGAGGTACAAGACTTCAAACCTAAGTAACCCACCAACGTGCACCGGGGAGGCCGCGCTAACCATCCCAAGCAAAGTCAGCGGGCTAACCACCGGACGCCGCGCTGCCAGAGGCTGGGTAGTTTCCAGTCGGCGACCCGGAGACCCCACCGCGGAGAGGAAGAGCGGGGTAGCGGGGCCTAGTGTCCCCGAGGCAACCGCGCGGGCCCCAAGGGAGGCACGGGAAAGATGAAGAAACGAATGGAACCACCCCGCACACTCACACTTCTCTCGGGTTTCTGGGACTGGGAGAAGCGGGGAGGGGACGATTCTCGGCCTCTTTTATTTGGTAGGGGCCTTCACCTCTGCCTCTCGGTCAGCCACCCAGCCACCGCCATCTTGAAACCTCGCGCCCCTCCGCCATCCTTACGTCACTTCCGGTCTCTATGAGGGGGACGAACGCGGCGTTTCTCAGCCCGGAACCATAGAGAGTAATCCCGAACTGCGGGATGAGAGTCGCTTCCGCTCCAATCCTATACCGAGTTGGCTGGTTATCGGCTGAAAGCCCGCCCACATTGCGAAGGGGCGGGCACGTTCTGACGTAATTTCCGGCAGCTCCATTCACGGTGGCGCCAGAGACCGGCCGAGTTGCTATAGGCAGGTGTTTTGCGCTTTTCCTGTCTCACGAGATTGTGTTAGATTTTGACTTTTCGTTCTCTCATGGCGTGAGCCGGTGCAACCTTTTGGGAGTGTCTAAAATCCCCAAATAACAGTAGTTACCGTGTTCTGTGGCGGTTTGCTAGCGTCCGTTCGTCTGGAAATTCAGTTTATCGACACTCATTTGTAGAGCTGAGCAGATCCGTGCCCACATTAGAGTCCCAGGTTGCTAATTTACAAGATTCATTTATTTTGAAAAGGAAACGTGGGGATTAGATTTTCAAAGCAGTAATTAGTATATTTTTAGCTTGGTGTAAATGAGTGTACCTAGTGAAGATTGCGTTATGGAAAAGGCTTATTGAACGGGGGTGCGCTGAAGTCAGTTTTAAGTTTATGAGTGGCGAGGATTTATATTGCTCTCTTTTCCTGCTGGTGTTTTCACCCGCCAAAAGTCCTTTATGATGTCACCACTCGTACGTGGTTTTTTCACTTTGATCTTCGTTCCTCTACCCTCTTTCTCTAAAGGCTTCTTTTTTTTTTTTAACCCCTTGAAGGTAAGGGTAAATATATTTAAAGTACTTTTGAGGACACTTTTGAGTCTACCTGTGCTAGTCTTGATTTGAATCTTTCTTACAGGAAAATAAGTTAGATACAACCCAATTCCTACTACTGTCAATTGTAAATATTCCACAATCTTGACGGTACATACTCATTTTTAACAATATTTAATATGCGCTTAACTGTATTAAGTTTTGTTCCTTAGCTAAACCTTGTCTTAGAAAATTTTTTATTTGGATTAAGAGTGAATTTTAAGTCTCAGAACAATAACAAAGTACAGTTTAAAAGCTTATAAGTCAGAGAATAAAAAATTTATAGGTGAACTGTTTTGAAGTTTTGGAACTAGTTTAAAAGAGCAATGACAAGAGAAAGTACATTTGAAAAATTATTTAATCTAGCTTTTAAAATTTCAAAGACGTTTCCTGTACTGGGATGTAAGAACTAGCTATAACACAAATTCTTGCATTGACTCCTGTTAATAATTTTGTAAGTAGAAAATAGGCATCTCAATGGAAAGGCATTAGTTGTGAGGAATTTAGAAAATGAACACTTGATCTGCAGAAATTCAACCAAACCATTAGGTCTTTGTAGCTTCTGGATTTTTCTGAAATCAGATAATTAATGAAATGGGTCACGTAAAGTTTTATAGAGAAAAAATAACTTCCTCCTTTCTGCTAGTATTGAAAACAAAATTTCATTTTTCTGAATACTTATAAGGTATTCATGACTTTCCTTTAAATGTCAAATTCTTAAAAGTAGCAACTTCCTCTCCTGTGTCCTAAATGCGTTTTATGCGTGTAGAGCTGGATTTGCTTGTTTTCTTTTTCTGTTCCAGACTGTTCAAACTTTCACTTGAGGACAATTTAATCATCACATCAGAATTAGTCAAGTTTGATTGCAATCTTTAAAAAAAAAAAAATCCAGGCAATAGTGTAATTAGTAGAAGTTTATGGAACGATTGCCTCCTTTCAAGTAAATTGTTGCAAGCCGTTTTCAGTCTCTTCCAGTTTGTAGAAAATTGGATTGAAACTTGGTCAAAATTATGGTAGTATTTCTATCCCATTTAATGGCCCAGGATTTTTGTCTTGGTACAAGTGAATAAATATTATGTCCCCTTAGAACAAGATGTTGTCTGAGGGTAATGGTAGAAATAAGTCATTGGATTTAATGTAAATTTAAGGATTTGGGAAATGAGAAAAGGAAAAGGTAACTCCTACACCTGCTGCTCCACCACAGCATTACTCTGATGTTGATCTAGTGTAGCAGAATAAGAAGACATCCTTGCAAATCTAGGCATTCATTGTTGTTGATATAAACAATGGAGTTATCAACTAGTTTTACTAGTTCAAGTAATTCACCTTTCCAAGTTATTTACTATATTTATCTTCATGTTGGAAACTTATGGAAAATGAAGTGAATTGAAGCTAAATGCTATTATTGGGAGAGAAGCAGAAAAAATTTCCAGTGGCAAATGGTTATTTCATTTGCTGTCTCACTGTCTTGGTGACCTCAGTAATGGCATGATGATATTTTTGTGAGGCTGACTTGAATTCCATCAGATGCTTCTCATAACTTTTGATGGCTGCTTGAAGCTGTGTTTTCTCCACTGCTCCCAGGATGGCACGGAAGATCATGTCTATGCCAAGGCCAAGAACAGCAACTCCAATGCTACCAAGGAGAGAAGCACCAATTTGAGCTAATACAGCGACCAGCTTGTTAATTATGCCACTTGTGACATTGGAGCCCACGAGTTTAACAGCCACTGCACTGGCTGCAGAAGTAGCTTCTCCCAAGATGACTGAAATAACTTTTTGTACGATTGCAATTTTCTCTGTTTCCTTTTCCTTAATATCCTGAAGTTTTCTATAAAGGGTTGGCTCTAGTTTATCTTTTAGCGCCTCATCAACCTTTTGCAATTCCTTTTGGATATTTATCATGGCATGGATGATGATATCACAGTTTTCTTTGATAGTCCCATTTCTTTTCATCTCAATGAAGTCCAGCCTGCACCCCAAGTGCATGTTTAAAACTCCAATCAGCTTATTGGTGGCATGGAAGCTGTCTGCTAAGCAGTCAAGGAGCTGCTGCTGAAGACGGTTTACTTGCTGCCGTCTCCTTGGGTTCTCTGGGTAGAGGAGGTCACTCTGAGCCATATTTCAAATATGATCTCTGAAAAATAATAAATCTTCACTAAGATTTTGAACAGTAGTTGCTCTTTGGATACATTTGACTAGGAATGTGTTCACTCCATGCATAGGAAAGTAGCAGCCTGGTATTTAAGGAATTCCTCAGAAGACTCAACAGGTTCTTCCAAGTAATCATTTTTATGAAATTTGGAGCTAGTGTATAGAGAATGTGGGTAACGGAACACAATGTATTGATCTTACTTAGTGCATTAGATTGTCTGGTAGGGAGAAAGCCTAGCTAGAAAATATTTGTGTTTATCAAGCATCTGATTATTAATAAACACAATTGTTTCCTAATAGCATACTTGAAACAGTCTGCAGTTTGAAATGGCTAGCTATGGATCACCAAGGCTCTGTAATTTCTCCAGCCCATCGTTACCATATTGAGTAGATTGATTTCTCTAATATTTGGAGTTAATTAGTGGGACAAGAGGGATAATTAAGACCTCTGAGTTTATAGGACTATTAAAGTCTAATATTGTTTATATACTATTTCCTTAGTTGACAATGTCCAAATCACTTTGTATCTCATTATGGGCAAATTATTTGTTTTCTAAACCTAAGGGAGATGTCCAAATTCAACATATTAAAACACTGGAATCTTAATAAAAAATACTCTTTGGATTAAAGTACCACAGGGGAAAAAGTGGGCATGGTGCAGGAAATATTGCAGTCATGACTATATGATTCTCCTTTTGCAAAATTTATAAGTTATGTAAAATGACTTATATTGCCCTTGTCCTTTACTAAGCTACACCAGGTATGCTCAGAAAGAAAATAATGCCATTTCACAGAAGTATTGCGCACATCATGGAATGAATAAAATGAGCCTGATGGGAAAGTTCTTATGTTTATACTTTTTTTTTAAAGATTTATTATTTATTTATTTATTTATACAAGCACTGGGGTACAGTCGGAAGCACGGGAGGGTGAGAGAATTCACCAGAGCCAGAGTGGGGAATAGAACAGGCAGAGTGATGAAATACACTGCTGAGGGAAGCAGCGGGCATGGCAGGAGAGGTCTACGCGCCATGTGGGACCCTCACCAGCATGGAACTGGCGCTGCAGAGGCTGCAGGCAGCTTTGCAGCCCAGCGCTCAACCCCTGCCACCAGGGGAGGCCCCTTATGTTTATACTTCTGGCTTAGAGTACTGTGTAGAGAAAAAACTAACTTTTTTTTTTAAGTTTATTTGAGTGAAAAACTTAAGTTTCAGCCTAGTAAGAATGTTACTCAAAATACATATCTTGACTAGACTTACTATCTATCTAGCACTTTTTTTTTTTAGCCTTTTGGGAGAAAAAGAAAAATGAGGTCTTCTATGTCTATGTAGGATCTGGCACATTCCCTCTGAGTAAATAACATTAATTTGGGCTTTACCTAACAAAGGATCATAATTCTTAGCCAGGATATGGGGAATCTCAGAAGCCATTGATAAATGAGTGAAGAAGCTTTTCCTCTCAAGAAAGTAAACATGAAAATACCCTACTTTCCATTCATAAAGAGAGTATTTGGAGTTGGAAAGAAGAAATTAAAAAAAAGTTTAGGGAAATAATCACCTCTGCTGTTTTAAAAATACACTGTTGTCTCTGGTAGAATAAACTTTATTGTGGTCAGAAATTCTTTTTTATAACTTGTATCCAGTACACACACACACACACACACACACAAATTCTTTTTTATCTAACTTACCAGTACACACATACACACACTGTGTTTGTGACTGACACAGATTTCCACAAAATAGTACTTAGAACATATGTTTCATTTAAAAAAATTTTTTTTTTTTTAAAAAGATGTATTTATTTATTTATACAAGCCCTGGGTACAGTCAGAAGCGCGGGAGGGTGAGAGAATTCACCAGAGCCAGAGTGGGGGGAGCAGAGCAGGCAGAAGGACTGAAGTACACTGCTGAGGGGAGCAGCGGGTGGCAGGAGAGGGTTGTGCGCCATATGGGACCCTCCTCCGGTGGCCGGGGATCAGCCTCCGGGGATTGAACCGGAGCTGCAGAGGCTGCGGGCAGCTTCGCAACCCAGCGCTCAACCGCTGCGCCACTGGGGAGGCCCTAAAAAATTTCTTGTTGAGGGCCTAGTAAGAGTTTTGAAACTCGCTCTTTGGTTGCCATATGCGATTTGATAACTGCAAATTTAGGCTTTAATTTCTAGAAATTTTCCATTAAACTTTTTTTTTTGTATGTGTTTTGGCTTCTAGTTTTCAGATGTTATCATGAAAGGAAAGATCCAGTTTCTGACTTTGAATTCAGAAGATCATCAACTATATCCTTATTCAGATATTTAGGTGAGAAGAAATTTTCTTACCCTGAAAATGTGAAGAATATTTCTAGCACCTATCATATGCTATTATACAGCAAAGGTGTGTGGTATAGTCCTGTTTCTCTAAGGATAAACACATGGAGAGATGATCATTCCTTTTACTGGAGTGTTGAAAGGAAAGCACCAGTGGTCAACTCCTTCCCAATTCATTATTTTAATGCAAACTGATAATCGAAAAATACATCTGAAACACTGAATAAGGTGAAACTATTTTTTTTTCAGGAAAAGTAATGGCTTTTCCATCCCTAATAAAAACTGTTTCATTGTTTGCTCTTTAATCAATTCAGTAAAATTGATAGGATCTTTTTTCCATTCTAATTTCCTAAGACATGCTGATCACTGGCAATATTTTAAAATAATAGCCAGTATTGTACAGGTGTAAGAGTAGATGGAGTCAGGGAACAAAATAGTCCCCAAAGCAGATCCTTCTATACATGTGACAATATAAAATAAATGTAGATTCTCAAATCAATAGTAATTGAAATTATTTTTTTCTTAAATGGTCTTGGCATGGTGGACTTGTCTTTGGGGGGGCTAAAAGTTGATTTAAAAGTATCATCAGTATAAGATAAGTGAAAAAATAAAATAGAAAAATATGAATTATGTCTGTAGGGAAGAAGATTTTATAAACTTAAAGGAAAAAGTCACATAAAATTGTGATTAGCAAAGATGACCTCGTGGAAAAAACCCTGCAAGCCAACTGGGAAAAATTCAAGAAAAATGAAAAAGTATTTATTTTAATTTTTTTTAAAGATTTATTTATGCATACAGGAACTGGGGTGTAGGCCAGATGTGCAGTGGGTGAGAGGATTCACCAGAGACAGCGTCGGAAGCAGAACAGGCAGATCTACTAAAATACACTGCTAAGGAGAGCAGTGGGCAAGGCGGGAGAGGTCTGCTGTGCCATGTGGGTCATCTCCCTGGCTGGGGATGTAACTCATCCTGCAGTGGCTGCAGACAGCTTCTTAGTGCTGACACTCAATCCCTTGCGCCATTAGGGAGGCCCAAAAGTGTTATTAACTTTAAAGAGTTCTTATTAATAAAGACAACAGTAGTATTATAGCTAAATGAGCAAACAACTCTGGACAATAAAAGAAACAGTAATTAACAAGTTGGTAAAAAGTTTAATCTTGCCAGAAATCAAAGACAGAAGTCTATCAACTTTCATAGAAGTACTATTTTTTCCTTTATGTATTCAAGCCTTTGCACATGCACTTTTGTACCCATCTTCCTGGGGTCCAGACAACAGTTACAATTTTGTGCCAATGACAAATTTGAATAAGATACATCATGATCTGCTCAGAATTATTTTTTACTTCTAATGAACAAGAGCTTATTTTTCTTAGTCAGGCTTTAGGGCAGGGAGTTGAGAGGGTTCCTGGTGCAGGTAGATATTCAGCTGGCCTGTTGCCATTCCTGCTCCAATACTGAACACAAAATGATTTTCATCCCAATGAAATAAGAAATGTAAGAGAATTGCAAGGAAGAGAGGTAGGGTTTGGAGGTGAAATCAACAAATTATGTCTTAGGTAAAATTTGAAGATGTTGGTGAAGGAAGCAATTTTGTAATTAACAGTTTTCAGAATTATAGAGGTGGTGCTTGTGCAAATTCAAATTTCAGAGAACCCACCTTTAATATACATTGACACTTAGGCTATAGGGAAACATTTAATCCTCCAGGGGAGGTGAAGAATTTGTACTTTCTCAAATGGATGTGCCTAAATATATGATAGGTTAAATTAGAGAAGTCATATACCACATGGAAGCCATACGGAGAAAGTGTCTCTTTCTATTACTGCTCGTGACAATTTAGTTCTGAAGCTCATATTGCTTCACTCAGCAAAATCCAAGTCCTGAAATTAAAGATTGCAGTTAAATGGCACAAACATTGCTATTTGTGCCTAAAAACAACATTTCTGAGCCATCTACTTTAATAACATTTTCAGGGATGATTCGTTGATGATTGAAAATATCCAATCTTTAAAAATATTTTTAAAGTCATTCTAAAAATGACTGAAACATCAATACTAGCAGGAAACTAAGTGATGTACTTAATCTAGCTCTGTCTGATTCCTTGCAACTTTAGTGTGCAAATGTGGGGTTTTACACTCTTTGTCACGTGATCATTACCTGTAGGTGACAAATGCACTTTGGCGGCAGTTACTGTTTGTTCACTTACCCACAGCAAAGTTTGCGCTGTTACTTGAATATTTTATTTTAGAGGCTAGTGAAACAGGCTCTCTAGAGCCCTAGGTTGATTTAATGGGGAACTGTTGGCCAGTAGGTGGAGCTCCTGGTCGCGGGCACACCCAGCTTTTGTTGAAGCCGCTGTACGTTGTTGTTCCTATATTTGGGTTATGGGTGGGTAAAATTTTTATTTGAAGAGAGAATTCTGTTGCTAAACAGCTTGGAAATCACATATATTGTATCTTGCGCTTCATAAAATAAGCAAAGCAACCTGGGCGTGCTGCTAGCACTGATCAGCATATCTTAAAAAATTGGAATGAAACAAAAACTGCGTCAGATTGATTCATATTGAACTTAACCTCTAAATTTGTTGAGTTGTGAAGTAAATATTAAAGATTAAAGAGCAAATATATGCAATTGTAGAAACATTAATCATTGTATAGGTTTTATTTGGTGATACATTTATTTAGGAAAAGGTACAGTATTATGTGCAAAATGAAATGAAATGTACAGTATTATGACATATTCAGATAATTCTCAGGATACTTTTGTGAATAACAGTAGTGAATTGGCTGTCACATGCTACAGGAATTAAAGAAAAATTAATTTGAGGTGGTTAAAAATGGTGTGTGATAGTTACTGTGATGGTAGACTTACAACAGAAAGAAACTAAAAGATTTAATAAAATATTATAAAGTCAATAGCAATGATATAGAAGCACTTTAAAATAGAAAAGAAAAATAGCCATTACCTACATCTTAATTTTTTTTGTTATTCCCAATCCATAGTTTGTTTAAATGCATGAATATTTTTACAAAGTTGCAATAATAATATAAATAAAATTTTCATCTTCTATTAGTTTATTAAATATGTTTCTGTATTTCTAGCTTTATAATCATTTTATTGATTACATAAGTACTTCATAAGCTATCTTTACCATAATTTAATAAATTCCCAAATGTTTCAGTACATACTATTCTGATGAGCATTTTAATTTGTGTGTGTGTGTTTTCCAGTTAATTATCTATATTATTTTTTCAGGGTAAATTTTCATAATAATTGTATAATGAATGGAAATTAAACTTTTCATTACTTCCAATCTGTATACAAACTACACTCTAAAAACTTTTGTACTGCCTCCCAGAATAAATTTTTACAGCAAGACACTAGGTCTGTTTCAAAGTTAAAGATGGTCCTACTTATTAAATAAATATTATTATGTTGGAGAACTTAAGGTGAAATTTCAAAAAGGGGAGTTTTCTATCTTTTGTAGGAATACTATAATGATGAAATGATATGATCTCTGAGATCTACTTCCAAGTAATCTGAAAAGGAGAGTAGGGTAGAGCTATAAAGGATATAAGGTTGACTTTGTTTTAATAATTTTTGAAACTGGGTACATGGGATTTTATGATATTGTCTCCATGTCAGTATATCTTTGAATTTTTTCCTTTAATAATTAAAAAAGAAAAACATGACCCTCTGAACCTTTGATAGTTGTCACACGAGTGCTCACTGAGGTGCTGCTTCTCTCTGCTGTCACTTTTCATCACTATTCCTATTGGTTCCAGCTGTCAGGCAAGAGTCACTTATCTGAGTCTGTAAGAATGAGGTATAGGTAAGGTCAGACTCTTATTAGGAGAAAATAACTACTAGCTAGTTATGGGCTTCCTTCACTTTATTTTAAATAAAGATAATCACAAACACAAGTTGATTGTGGTGTGATGATACATTTTCTGATGTAAATTCTTTTAAAGAGTATTTCTGATCAGAAAGCAGAATATCAAAGTCAGCACCTCAAAGGCTATTTGGGAAACTTCTGCTATATGCCACATGGCATTTAAAAAGACAGTGTTTCTTCCCCTCAAACAAATAAGTGTCTGTGGATACAGAGCAAATATGCAGTGATATTTTTCAATGTAATGCAACTTATGAAGGTGTGTAACACTATATATTACCTGGTAGTAGATTGCACATTCATTCTTTCACAGATCTTGAGTGCATGTATAATTATTATAAGAGGAAATGTTATAATCTATATGAATAAAATTTTCACACAGGTGTCATTCCATCCTTAATCATTTCTAAAATTGATGTCTTAATGGCTCTGTATTCCCCTCTAACATAATAAGTTGTAGAAACTGTTCAATTTCTTACTTACCTGGTGTCTTCAGAGATCTAATCACTAGGAACATGCCATGGGAACATCTTACAACAGTTACTTTGTTATATTTATGGCTATAATTGAAGATTGACCTGCTATTTCAAATTCCCTAATATGGAGAGAAGACAGAGTATTATATCAGTACCAGTGGAAATACCCACATTACCTACCTTGCTGTGTTTCTGAGTTCAGTAGTCCCAGTGAAGGTTTAGGAGTATTGTTGAAGGGCTTTTTCATGTGATTTCATCTGGATGCTTCTGATGGAATGTGATGACTTACAGGCTTTGTTAGTGTCTGCTGGGTCCCTCTGCCTGTCAGGTTTGTAGATTACTTCTGAATGATTTAGCTCTCAGAATTGTCTTCTTGCCTATATTAATATCATGTTAGTATATATTAACCAACAATTTGAAAGATGTAGTAAACATGATTTTTCTGTTCTTCAATGGACTTTTTATTGCTGAAAAGTGCTAATCAACTGAGCTAACTCACTTCAGTAGAGAAGTTGGTTCTATGACTGCAGTTCTTGTTTTGGGATTCTACCTGTCAGTTATTCAAGTCTCTGATTCTCTTCTTAGAAGGATACAAATCCTGTTGTATTGGGCTCCACCCTATGACTTCATTCAAATTTAGTTACCTCCTTATAAAACCCCATTTCCAAATAATAGACATAGTTATGCTAGTGCTTCAACATATGAGTTTGGGGGAAGGGGACAAACCTCAGTTCACAGCACAAAAGAAAGGGGTGATGATTGGGCAGAATTCTGGAGGAGATGCAAAAGGATCATGAACATTTGTTAGAGACATTAGCACTTTTCAGCTGAGAGAAAGGGTTGTAATGAAAGTTCAGAACATTTTTAGATAGGACAAGTATTTTGGGAGATTGCATTGGATGACTTTGTCTTCTTGGAATGTCAAGATCAAAAGAGAAATACACAGACAAACCCTTCAGGGAGAATAAGCTAATAGGCCTGTGGAGTGATCTCTTGACAGCTGATTGTCTAAAGAAGTGTACTTGAACTTGTTTCTGGATGTGTTTGTCCTTTCCTTACTTTTTATTTATTTTAATGGAAATATTCTTGCTATTATATTCAAGTATCACAAGCCTAATTAATGATTATGTGACACAGAAGTAAATGAAGTGTACAATGGGGAAGAAAACTCACTCTGAGTCTTTCATTTTAATCATTTCCTTTCTGAGATGTTGGTATTAAATCTGAAACAATCGCTCCTATTTGAGTCCATTCTTTTTACCTCTGATACCATCTCCATGTATTTGTGGTACAATGTGCAGGCCATTGCCTTTCTATTGATCCATTTCCCTGGGAGAGTCCTGGTTTATGCCTCTTCTCTCAGCATAATTACTATTAACATCCCCTTGCACTACATCCCGGTTTGAACGATAAATTATATAGTTACCTTACCCATAGATGTTTGTATCTGCCTCCAGGTTCGGAGAGTAATGACAAAATTAGGATTTCATAGAAAGGAATATTCATTAAAGGGCTGCTTTTGAAAAGACAGTCCTCTCAGACTCTTTGCTCTTGCTATTCATATTTCTTACTGCTCCTTCCTAATATCCTTTATTTGTTCCTCTTTGGACTTCATACTTTTGTTATGTTCTCACCTTGAACAATTACCCACATTCCTTTGATTGTTTAATACCACTCCCAGAAGTACCAATTTCTCTTTTTGGGCTTCAATCTTTTTTTTCTTTTAAAGATTTTCTTTTTATTTATTTATACAAGCACTGGGTACAGTCAGAAGCACGGAAGGGTGAGAGAATTCACCAGAGTCAGAGCGGAGAGCAGAGCAGGCAGACTGATGAAGTACACTGCTGAGGGGAGCAGCGGGAGGCAGGAGAGTTCTGCGCACCATGTGAGACCCTCACCCAGTGGCGGGGGATAGAACCGGTGCTACAGAGGCTGTGAGCAGCTTCGCAACCCAGTGCTCAACCGCTGTGCCACCGGGGAGGCCCTGGGCTTAAATCTTTTAAGCCCCCTTGTTAGTGGACTTTTTTTGTCCTGCGAACCCTATTTCAGGATCCTCATATATTCTTTCCTTATATACTATAGCTCTATTCTGTCAGTCTCACTTGCTTTATCTTAAAATGGTTGTATTTTGTTTCTGAAGACAATTGAGGACTACTGTTTAACTTATTTGCTTCTAATATGTTGCTTCTCTTACATATATTCCCTTCTGAACATTTTCTGTCTACTCAGCTAGACAGAAGAGGGTGACAGTGATGGCACTGCTGTTTTCTACTACAGCTTATAAGTGAAAGGGTTTGGGGCTGCCTCTTCCTTGTCCATGGGAACAAAGGAAGGGCTGACATTTTCTTGCTTGTACTTGAGTCAAAAAGGATCTGCTCCAGGTTCTCTAGGTAGAGAGAGTGGGCTTGTTTTGAAAGCTTCCTTCTTTGGAGTTGTTGACAGTTATAGTTTCAAGCTAATCCTAGAGTTCAAGGTAGAAATACAGAAGCCAGGAAAAACAAAACATAAAACCAGAGAACTTCATCATTGCATTGTTCTTCAAATGCTATACTCTCTCTCTGCCTCCTCTGTGTGCTATTAGCCACCTTTTGGAATTATCTGATAATTACTTTACACTTTTCATCTAAGAGTTTTAGCTATAATCAGAAATATTAGAGAGAGTGTGCTTGCTCAAGTTTAATCTTTCTGACTAGGTTGGGTGATTATTGAGGGTAATGCCTGACAAGTGTTGTTTCAATTACAGCATATCCAGTTTGGCTTCAGCACACAGTATTTGATAGGTGGTTTATTTTCAATAAAACAACTCTATTGTACTCTGTTGTAATTATTTTTATTGAAGCACTAAATCATTTATGCTTTGAAACGTGTGTAGTTTTCCTACCCTTCACAGGAATTAAGATCACATTTAGATTATACTTTCAGCCTCCTTGTGGTTGACAAGTGTACTTTTAATTTTCACTTGGATTATACTTTGTTTTGCAGCTCTGAAACATTTTTGTTGGAGAAATGTCTTCAGAGTCAGAAAAGGATAAAGAGAGGCTGGTTCAAGCTGCCAAAATGTTCTTCTTTCAAATGCAAGATATTTCCTTCTTTACAAAAACTCTTACTGATTTGTTTAACAGCAGTATGAATACTCAGATTATCTTGAAAGCTGTGAAAGAAGATGGTTATGTTAAGGATGTCTTTGAACAAATGCTCATCATTTTCAAGGAGATGCAATTTATAGTGAATGCAAAGTATGGCAAAAAACAAAATGAACCTTTATTTTCCCAGATGGCAACAGCTATGTGCTCTGTGGTTGAAAAGAGTACCAGTGTAAAGGAGTTGCAACAGTCAGCTAAGCAAATTTTCAGAAATGTCCGTGCCCCGGTCATTGTCTCTGTGCTGAATAGTGGTAACATCCTGGCGTGTTTGGAATCTTCTCTTTCACTTTTGATGAAATATCCTATTATGAACCTTCAATTAAGTGACTTTTACAGAAAAGACAGCAAAGAGCAATCAGATGCTTCCACATCTGAGAAAAGCTCAAGTCTTGTTTTATCTAAAACCATTACAGTAGACACCTTGAAGTTACAGGATACACTCAAAACTGAGAATGCCAAGAATATCATTGAGTCAGCTGCAGATCACTTGGAGCAAATTGTCAAGACTATGAGGCCAATCTTAGAGATCCTCCAGAAGACACTAAAAGGTATGGAAATCAAGATTTCTCTGTCTAAGAATGCCAATGACTAGTACGAGAGCAACAGAAGTGGTCATTTCTGCCAGAAAACCCATTCTGATCTTATGAATTTTCATAGTACTTTCCAAGACCCTTTGATGCTAGACAGGTGGTCTTTTGGGACAGAAATATAAAGAGTAATCAACTGGCAAACCAATAAAGCTTTGCTTTATTCAAAAAAATAAGCTTGACCTGCCAGTTCCTAAAAGGCATACATTCCTCAAAAAGAAAAAAGGTTCTATACATTTGAGGATGTTTCTGAACCTTATATTTTATCTCAAAGCATAATTAAAAGAATTGTAAACTAATTTACACTTCTAGTAGTTGTATTTCTAGTTATTACTGTGTTAAGTCCAGGTAGATGTAAATATTATTACATAATCTGGCGGAAATGACTCTTCAGGCCTAGGAAATACATTAAATAACCTGCATTTTTGTCACTCACATACTAATTTGTATCAACTTGTATTTTCCCTGTCATAATCTATTCACTGAGTACTTTTGATATGATGTATCAAGTAGTAAATAAGAACATAGAATGTAAGAAGTAATAGAATTTCCTTGACTAAGACCAGATGAGATGGTGTTTTCTTATTTGTCTCTTACTGAGGTTAGATGATTAGGATATATCAGAGGTTGAAAAACAGAAGTACTCTAACCTTTCACAAAGAAGAGATTATAACATTTGCAGAAGGAGACTTTCTGAGACAAGCTCGTGTGGGGTAGGATGAGTTAAGAAAGTCTGTTTGTCTACCATAATGACTTTGGTTCTCCTGCGTTGCAAATGAGTGTATATTCTCAAGTGCGCTATCTCACATGATATTGTTGACTTCAAACAAAAAGCAACCAGTAATTTCACTCAAAATGGGCTTACTTGGAAATTACAAGAAAGCAATTTGGAAAGTACAGTTTCATGCTTAGATACATGTGTACTTCCCAAAAACCCAGGCTACCACTTTCCCCTCCTCCTTTTCTAGCCTTTGGAGGGACTCCTATTGCATGAAGTGAACCTTCCTCCTTCCACTTGGCCTAGAAGCAACACCACTTCCTGTCAGAGAAGCAAAGCATGTTGGGTCTTGTAGTTTGCTATTTGTACTTGTGTGGGACTGTTTGTTTAGCTTCTTGACCTTATTTAAATAGGGATTCTCTATAGTAATCTTCATATCACCTAATAATAACTTTGCTAAGAATAAGAAAAGCAATATTGACAGCTCTAGTTCTTTGTTGGAATTTTCCTTTGAGAAAACCTACATCACTTTCTCATCTAATATTTTCTCTTTCAAAAATTTAAACCTCATATTTTCTTTTTTTGTTTTTAAGATTTATTTTATTTATACAAGATCTGGGGTACAGGCCAGGGTGAGGGGATTCACCAGAGACAGAGAGGGGAGCAGAGCAGGCAGATTGACCAAAGTACACTGCTGAGGGGAGCAGCGGGTGAGACAGTAGAGGTCTACTGCGCCATGTGGGTTGCTCCCTGGCTGGCTGGGAATCGCACTCGCACTGCAGAAGCTGCTGACAGCTTCACAGCGCTGTGCTCAGCCCGCTGTGCCACCAGGGAGGCCCATAAACCTCATATATTCACTTTAAAAAGAAACTGTCTCTATATTAGTAGTTTCATGTTGAGGAGAATCTTGAACTGACCCATTTGCTATCCTCCTTTCAAAGAACTACATATGTTAATGGGAGGAGGGTGGCGGAACTCTCACTTTACTTTTTCTGGACCTGTACGTGTGTCTGGGATTTCATCCTCCTTCTCTTGATTTTAGGATTGCGTCCCAGGATGTTGCAACCCATGGGGGGATTCACATGGAAATGAAGGGGAGAAGGACCAAGAAAAAAGTTCTGGGGACAGAGTATTTCTGTGAAATGGCTGGAAGTCCTCACCAGATGCTAGTGGGAATGGCAGTTAGAGTAGCCCTTTGATGTGGTGGTGCCCACTTCAATAAAGATGCGCTGTCTTCAAATGCTCTCACTCGAGAGGTGGACCATTACTTGAAGGCCTCTCCCAGAGGGCTTCCACCATGGGGTAAGCCACCCACTCTAAAGACTTCTTTGCTGCTGCTTTCCAGCTTGTGGGAAGATTAGGGGAAAGCTGCACTCTTCTCAAACCTATGGCACCTTTACTCTTATTTAACATTTCCCCCAAATCCTTTGGTTTTATCTTCCTCTCATTTTCTTTCAAGTTCTTCAGGTTTTGTTGCACAAATTGGGGAAGACTCACTTATTTCTATGGTATGTCTAATCTCATTTTTACTCTGAGGGTATGACCACTGCATGGTCTGGTGAGTAAGGTACACATAGGTAGGAAAAAGTGAAATGCCATAAAACAAAACAAAACAAAACAAAACAAAACACGTCATTTACTCTCCCCTCACCAAAAAAAGGTAGGAAAGAAGTCTTATAATACTTGTAATATCCGACCCCCCCACTTTGAATAGTCCTCAGTGTTGTATCTTGGTATCTCTGAAAGCATCTTTCTCAATGCAGCAGGCTGTGCCTCCCATGCTGTCTCTTGACATGACCCAGGCATTGGGGGAGATTCCCGAGAAGCGGGGAGTTTCTGTGCTCCCCTGAAGAGGGAATGTTGTACTTCCCAGAAGAGGGGAGTTTTTGCACTTCCCAAAGAAGATCTGAACTAGGGAGTCTCCATGGCAACTGCCTGCTAAAGCTCTCCTCTTTGTTCTTGGTTAATGCAGAAGTTAGTTAGTCATTAATTGGCATATGAAAACCCAATTTGGACCTAGACGTTAATTGATTTGTTATTCTTACACTTGAATTAGTATCATAGAAAGTAAATAATGCAAAAGGTATAGTTAGGAAAGAAATGTTGAGGCCCTGAGAACTTTGGAGAACAAGCTGCCCTGAACCAACTGTGCTTGGAAGCCATAGCCTGACACAGGGGGTGCATGTTTGGGGCAGCAGTACATTTCCTGGTGTTTGCAAGAGGTCAATAGTTCGCAGGCTGTGTGGAGGTTAGGAATTTCTAGTTAGGAGATAGACTTCAGTGGAATTTACTTAAATTTGATAAGTTGTTTCAGACCACTTTGAAGTAATCAATATATTAACCGAGTTAACTGAGTGCTAGGAGATAGATTGATTTTAGTAACTGAATATAGAATAGGAATTTTACACCCACTTTATAACTGTGAAAGTTTAATTGCTGACAAATGTTGTGCTGTCATATATGATTAATCATGTTAGTAAATGAGCTGTACCTAGGAAACTAATTGTTCTTAAGGTTACCAGAGAATTGCCTTTTAGGTGTGAGACTTAGGGAGTCTTTGCATGTTCATGAGAAAATATGTATTGATTGTTTCTGTTCTGCCTCCATGCTTACAATGATGTAATCCCACCGCTTGCCTTAAGGTATAAATAAAGACCCGCTGAGACCCTCAGCAGGAGATACTTGCACGAAATAAGGTGTCTGTGTCTTCCTCACTCCTACTCGCTCCACTTCCCCTCAGCCCTCCGAGAGAAAGATAAGAAAGAGAAAAAGGAATTTTCACCGACTCTGTCCTCTCCTTTCTGAGATCCCTGATACGACTTCTAGCTGGGGAGGGTCCCCAGCAGCTCAATAACTATGTTGAACTTTACCAAATCAAGAACTAGCTTATTTATTGTATCAAGTTTCATTAAGATTATTACATAATGCAGATTATGAATCCTGATTTTTTTCTTTTAATGTAGGTTTTTTTTTTTTAAGATTTATTTATACAAGAACTGGAGTACAGGTCAGATGTGTGGGAGGGTGAGAGGATTCATGAGAGACAGAGCAGGGAACAGAATAGGCAGACTGACTGAAATACACTGCTGAGGGGAGCAGCAGGCGAGACAGGAGAGGTCTGTCCCGCCATGTGGGTATCTCCACAGCAGGCGGGGATGGAACCAAAACTGCAGAGGCTGCGGACAGCTTCATAGCACTGCGGTCAACTGCCTGCGCCACCAGGGAAGCCCATGAATCCTGATTTCTAAGCAAATCAAACTCTACAGAAATTTTCTTTCACTAGATTTATTTTTTTTAAGTAAGAGTAAATAGAAAATACCAGGACAGACAGGCATATTAGAATACTGTGTCATAAAGATAAAATAATAGGGCCAGAATTGTTTTTTGCATATACAAAAAGGAGAGATGAACATATTTAATAAAGTTACTACAGAGGGTAAATACCATGCAACTTTACAGTGTAGTCTCTTTTAACATTACGTGTGAATTTATGCATAGCTGAAGTCCATTCTGTCTTCAGAAGATATCCTAGACTAAGAAAGGGCAGAAATTACAGTGATTTTTTTTTTTTTGAAACTGGTCTCCTAAAGGCTTTAAATCAGTGTGTCACTTTATAGCTCCTTGCTTAAAAACTTTGAACTATAGGGAAAGACTGAAAAAATGCAACATATTTACATTCATCCTTAACTAAATCACAAATCTGCACATTTTCTGTCTCCGGTAAAGTAGCAGCAGGAGGAAGAAGAACTAAGTTATCTTTTTAAAATGTGGTTATTCCCATAACTCACAAACCCAGATTTCTGGGTTTCTAATTACATAGATTTGGGATCAGGCCCTAGGATTCACTTTTCTATAAATTTATTAAGGGATACTGATATTGCTGGTGCTGGGAGCAAGCATGACGGGTCATTGATTTAAAAGTGTCTTACTAAGAAAACCCTGATTTCTCATAGAGATCAAATGCTTAAGAGCTGGATTTTTAGTTTAACTAAGTGACTTCATGTTTTCTCTCCAGTCCATGTTCCTCCTTCACTCTGTCAGACCCATATACTAGCCTTTTATTCATTGATCGTTCCTATATCCCATCTCTTTTCTATTCCGTTCCTTCTTTTCCACCTACCTGAATCTTCCCCCTGCCCCCCTTCATTTAGGCTCTATCTCTGATGAAAGTTTTATCCAACCACAGGCCTGAAGAATCTCATTTTTCTCTACACCCCCAAAACTTATCATTTGTACTCATTTTTGGTGCTAAAGACTTGATACAGGCCTGTCGAAGACCAGCTTTTGGCAAAATGTCGGGTCAGGTGTCCCTGAAAGGATGAGATGGCCTAGGAGAAAATTTAAGGGCTGAAGGGAAGGGCAGTGAGGCAGACACAAACACTCTTATATTGGTGAAAGCATCTCCTGCTGAGGGTCTCAGCGGGTCTTTATTTATACATTAAGGCAAGCAATGGGATTACATCATTGAATGCATAGAAGCAAAACAAAAACAATCAATACATTCTTTTCCCATAGACATTTTGGCGCCTACTGTTTTTGAGAAAAGAAACGACCTTAAAAGTTAATAGATAATTAAAATTTAGACTCATTATTTCAGCCTAAACAACTACCTAGGTCAGCTAACAGTCCTTGGGACATCCCTATCACCAAGACTACAATATCAGGAGACTCCTCTAGCTATATGGCCTGCAGCTAGGGACCAGTTGCTTCCCAATAATCAGTTATTAGAACTTTTTTCTACCTAGAAACTCTTAGTGTAATCAACTTTATGATTCATTACAAGGCTTCTTTACAGAACTTCCATATGAGGAATATTATTATGACCAACTCTGGGTTGCTTATCAGACATGCCCTTGCACAATAATTATTTCCCATTGTCAAGTGGGCCAAATTATTCAGTGTTTAATTTTTAAGCAAGTAATTTTCCATGCCATGAACTTACAAAATTCTTACACGTATAATTTATTGCCCAATGTATATTCCATAAGGTTTTTTTCTTTTTATGACCAAGAACAAAAAACAAAGACGTGTTTAATCTTCAGCCCCATGGTGTGAGGCACAAGGAATCTTCAGCCCCACAGTGTGAGGCTCTTTAAACTTTGGCCCCATGGTGTGAGGCCCTTTTCTTAGCTGCTTGCCAGTGTCTTACCTGGCTGGGGCAGCAAGGCCCCCTGCAGCACAGGCCTATTAACTGTTTTTTTTTTTTTTTGTCCCCCTATTATCTTTTGCTCTCACACCAGTGTCCTGAGACTTTCTTCAAATTCTTTCCACTACTGGCCTCCCTGGTGGCGCAGCGGGTTGAGTGCAGCGCTGTGAAGCTGTCTGCAGCTTTGCAGCATGGTTTCGGTTCCTGGGAGGCCAGGGAGAGTCCCACATGGCGCAGCAGACTTCTCCTCTCTCTCCCACTACTCCCCTCAGGAGTGCTTTAAGTCCGTCTGCCTGTTTTACTCCCCACTGTGTCTGCCTGTTTTACTCCCCACTGTGTCTCTGGTGAATCCTCTCACCCTCCTGCGCCTCTGGCCTGTACCCCAGCTATTGTATAAATAAAAAATAAATCTTAAAAAAAAAATTCTTTCCACTACTTCCTGGTTTCTCTTGCCTCCATTGTTGGAAGGTATCTCTCTTCTTAACTCATGAACAGAAGATTTGATTCCCGTCCTTTTCTTTTACTATTTCCTTTGATAATTATTTGTGGTCTTATTTATCTTAAGAGATAGCAAACTCATGGAAGATCTGGCCTAGTGTATTCAACTCTTAATCTCCAAAGTGCTTTGTGTATAGTATGACTCAAGTAATGCATTTATATGGCACAGAAAAAAATATGCAAAATATTGGAAGGCTTTTCCTAACATACAGCACTGCCTTGTCAAGACTTCCTTCAAGGCATGTTCCCAGAGTCTTGCCCTCAGGACTCTCTACTAACCTCTCATTAACCTGCCAAAATTCCTGGGCAGTGTATCTCAGAATTTTTTTTTTTATGGAAGTTTTATGTTTGCTTTATTAGTTGTAGGGCCAGTGCAAGCTAGGTGCTAGAGTTGTACTTGGCTCTGTTATTCTCAAAATCCCAATGTAAAGACTGAAAGTACTGGATGCCTGAATTCTCCACCAGGTAATTTGATGCAGCCAGCTCTCCATTTCACCTCTTCTGTCATGACACAGGCCCTTCAGGAAATCCTACTGGGACTAAGTGGGCTGGTGTCCATTTTTGTTGCTTCTTATCCAAATCTTAGAGGGACTAGGTAGCCTGGACTTCACTCCATTTAACACAATACTAGGGTCTTTGGAAATCGGGCAAAAGCAATTCCTTATAGCCCCATGTTGTTTGAGTTCTGAGAGAAGAGTTAGAGTACATGTGAAGTTCAATGAGTTATACATTTCTTTTTTAACCTAATTGTTTGCACATAATGGAGACACAAATATTTCTTTGGTATTTGCGTGGTAATTAGATTTTTCCTCTTATATTGTCTCCTTTGTCTCAACACACAGCCACATGCTTTCCTAATGTAAATAATTTGCCATAAACACTTAAAATTCAATTTTCCACAAACTCCTCTGGAAATTAACATAAAAGTTTAAGTCCAGACTTTTGTGATATTTTAGGAACATGTGTGCAGAAACTCCTTACTGGCATTAGATGATTTCATTGACATCTTTCCTTAATTTACTTCTCAAATTTTCTTCTGTCTGAGATTACACTGGTTTGGCCTAAAATGCTAATAAAAATTCTGAAGAAAATTTACCTCTTAGTTATGTCTCTGGGATTCAGGGTTTCTATTTGATAAAGAATTTTTCCTTTGCATTCTAACTCAAGCATCTCTGATTTGTTCTTATTTAGAACTGCTACGTAAAAAGTAAAGGAGATTCCTTTATTTATCATAGCTCCTTCAATTGTTTGATACAGAAAATTTAATTCAGAATACTTAAGCAAAAATATAATGTATTGCTGTATGTATTTAAAAAACTTAGGGTATCCAGTTTCAGGCACTGTTGGAGATCATATACTCTCATCAAGACTTATTTTCTTTTCATTCTTGTGTCTTCATTAAATTAGCTCCATTCTCAGAGAGGGCAAGTCTCTCCTGCTGGTGGAAGATAGCTGTTAGCAGCTTTAGCCTCAGAGCCACTCTGTTTCCATTAATCTCCACTCAAAAAAAAAGCTCCCCATTGCACTCCAATTCCAATTCCAAAAAAGTACCTTGATTGCATCTCAGAGGCTCTGACTGGACCATTTTCTATTTCAGCATGAATCTTTGTGTTCATGGAGAAGAAATACATTGAATTACAGGCAGGCCCACCCACAGGCAGTAGGTTGAGCCAGTTCTGCAGCAAATGATAGCTGGGCAGAGTGATCCCCCAAGGGTATTCTGGGTCCCTTGAGAGAAATAAAGCAAAAGAGTTCAAGAAAACAAAACCACAAATTTCCTTTATATTCCATTTTTGGACAAGATAATGAAACACATTAAAAAGGTGAGAAAAGCAATAATTACAGGAGCAGGGATGCACTTTCTGCCGGAAGCTGTAAAAACAAGAAAAAAGAGTTAAAGGTGTTTTTGGTAGCAGAGTTTTTTGTTGTTTTTTTAAACTAACTCATTTCTCTTTTTGACTTACTTTTTTTTTTTTTTAGCTTAGAAAATTCCTGGTAAAAAGTTAGCTACTTTTATAAAAGCATTCTTAGGTTTTTCTAACAGAATTCAGCTTACTCATTTTTCAGATGGTGAAACCGGCACCTAGAGGTTCAGAGATTTAACTCAGGTTACCCAGCTCAATGGTTGTAGGGCTCTCCTGGTATTCCATCTTATCAGCAGAGTTATCACCATCACTAGCATCCCCATCATAATTATGATTGTCTTCATCACCATTATAAAAACTAGCATTAGTTATTCTGTGCTAGAATATGTTTTAAGCATTTGCTATATATATATTTTTTAAATAAATTTTATTTTTATATTCCCCATACAATTGCAACCCCCTTATTTTGACCCCAATCCCTATATATTTTTTAAAGATTTTATTTTATTTATACAACAGCCAGGGTACAGGCCAGATGCATGGGAGGGTGAGAGGATTCACCCGAGACAGAGAGGGGAACAGAACAAGCAGACTGACTGTAATACACTGCTGAGGGAGCAGCAGGTGAGCCAGGAGAGGGCTGCTTGCCATGTGGGTTGCACCAAGGCCGGTGGGGATTGAACTGGCACTGCAGAGGCTGCGGACAGCTTCACAGCATTGCGCTTCAACTGCCTGCACCACCAGGGAGGCCCACATTTGCTATATGTTAATTCAATCTTCATGACAAAGCTATCAAGTATTTTTTCTCATTATCCTCATTTTTTGGTTGAGAAAAAAGTGACACAGATGTGAAGAAATTTTCTGGGCCTCACCCATCAAGTTGGTAGTGTAGGCAGCATTCAAACTCAGGCAATCTGGCTCAACACTGTATTTTTAACTACTGTTTTGTCTCTTTGTATACTGCACTTCCATTCACAGAATTTTTACAAGGTGCTCAAAAAATATTCTCACATTCTGCTTGGGGTGTGTGTGTGTGTGTGTACTGCCTACACATATGTGCTCTTCCGAGGAAGTATGTGAAAAGTTAGCAGGCATCTTTGTGTGGCTGATGGGACCAAAATTGGAATACAAAAAATTATTGTCAATGTAATTACTAATTGGGAATTCCATGGACTGAGGAGTGGAGTGAGATGGAAGAAGGAAACCTTCTAAATGAAGAGTTTAGACTTTCAACTAGCGTCAGCTGACTACTTAGGGTAGAAAAGATGTTTAGGGTAAGAAAACATTCAACTCTGTGAGTGCCCCAGTATCTGACCATATTGTTTAGGATGACCAGATGATGAAGAAATTTTTTCTGTTACTTTCACATACAAGATCCTTTTAATTTCCTGTTTTTTTTTTTTTCCTATTCAGAATTTTACATATACCAACACTAGTTTTCAAAACTCCAATTTTGAGTAAAACCCCAGTAAGAGTAGATAAGGAAAATTAATCGTGCATATATTTTTCTAAGCTTTTGTCAAAGTTTATGTTAAATTGTATTATCAGAATCCTCACAGAGACCTGGGAACCATTGTTGGAGGGCATTCATTAGAACAGGCCTCAAACTTTATTTTTTTTGTTTTATCTTCATTGAGGCTAGAGAGTCCAACAACTGCCAATTGCAGTCTTTTACACTTTTTAATGGTATAAAATTTTGGGGTCTTCCCTGTGGCATAGGGATTAAGACTCAATGCTATTACTGCTGCGGCCCGAGTTGAATCCCCACCAGGGAGCTAACCCACACATGGCACAGCAGACCTCTCCTGTCTCACTCTCTGCTCCCCTTAGCAGTGTATTTCAATAGATCTGCTTGTTTTGCTCCCCACTTTGTCTCTAGTGAGACCTTCACCACCACGCCCCCCACCTCCGGCTTACAGCCCAGTTCTTCTATGCATAAATAAATAAATCTTAAAAAAAGTAAATAAAATTCTACCGAAGAGTTAGCATGAAGTATTAACTGATAATGAAACAATATCAGAAAGATTATGGCTTCCAGAACTTTATAGCTTTGATGTTGAAACTCTGCCCTTAGCTTTTGATCTTTACCATTTGGCCTCAACTTTCTGATCTGTAAAATTAGAGCATCTCTAGATTTTTGGAAAATCTATTATTGCTACCATCACTCTTTACTTTGCCTCACTGCTACTATGTTGTGCTGAAATATAAGCTAAACATAGACCTTAAGTCTGTTTGAAGGGGACATCTTAAGTGCCCTTCATAATAATGAGGATTGTTATGAAACTATATAAATACATATAATATGGGGCCTTCCTGGTGGCGCAGGCAGTTGAGCACAGCAAAGCTGTCCGAACCCTCTACAGCGCAGTTCGATCCCTGCCGGCCAGGGAGATAACCACATGGCGCGGCAGATCTCTGCTTTCTCGCCCACTGCTCCCCTCAGCTGTGTATTTCATTTAGTCTACTGTTCTGTTCCCTGCTCTGTCTCTGGTGAATCCTCTCACCGTCCCACACATCTGGCCTGTACCCAGGTTCTTGTATGCGTGAATAAATAAATCTTTAAAAAATATATATATTATATTATAAATACAGATATTATACAAATATAAATATAGATAATTCACTCAATGCAATAATATTGTGTAAGTATTCTTTCTTAACTCTCTTGTTACTTTTTCTTTACCTTTCTTATGGCTATTATCATTCCTACCTTGCATCATTTTTTTTTTATTTACACAGACAATATATTTAGGAGAGTAACTGAAAAAAATCCTCTGATTTAAATTACAACCTATACTTTGAATTGCGAATACCTTGGCTTGTTTTGTACTTTTGTGTTTGTCTACTTTTCTATTTTTTTCAAAGTTTTTCTCAAGTTGGAAGTATTTTTCAAATTGGAAGTTGTGCTCTATTAATGATTGGTGACATTAGTTTAGTAGGTCACAACTATCACTTTTTAATAATGTGAAATAGGTTAAGATAAAAACACTAGAGTTGTACTGAATATGAAAAGATTAACTACTGTTTTACTATATCTGCATATGTATGTTTATATGTTATTTATATGTGAAGTGAGTTATGCTGTCACTTTCACAGAAGATTGAAACTAATGGTAGGTTCTCAGTAACATTTTTAAATGGACAAATATTGATTAGTCTTTTTCCTGGTCTCTTATTTAAGTTTCTAAATTCCTGCTATGAGTGAGGCCATCCGGTGTTTTTATTTTTCTAATCAGTACAAAGTAAAAATCAAAATCAACAAGCAACTATAAACCAGAGACACACTATGGTGGGGGCAGGGAAGGTGAGACTGAGAGAGGGAGGAGTAGAGTCAAAATAAGGGGGAAGTTGAAATTGTATGGGAAATATAACCATAATGAAAATGCATACATTGTGCAAAGATGAAAAATGATGTAAGAATTATATAAAATAAAATATAAAAAAAATGGACAAATAAACTGAAAGTAATCTATAGAGAAAATTGTCCTGGACTTTTTCTGAAAAAATTGTGCTTTTGTCACTTATAAGCTGTGTGAATAACACAAACCATTTTACTTCTCTAAACCTCAGTATTCGTATCAATATAGTGGAGTCAATATCCCAATTTACAGGGTGATTGTAAGAATCAAACAGGTAATATGTGCGAAAGCCTTTTTTAAGGAAAATTTCTTCGTAAATATTTTATTGCTGTGTTATAACCTAATTTTGGTCATCTGTGCCTGAAGGTATATACAGTCCATGGAGAAATAGTTATTTACAACTTTTATTTCATAAGGTCTGAAACTATATCAGCTATATTAGGCTGTTCAGAAAGAAGAATTCAATCTCTTGGGGAAAAAAAAGGGAAAGTTAAAACTATCTTGCAGTATATCGAGTTAATCTATGGCCTCTTTCTGTCAAAATGCAGAGAATAATGAGTATTCATCTTTTTAGAATATTATCTAGGAAAAAGTTGGCACTCATAAAAGCATTATTTCTTCCGCCTCTTCCTTTGTTTCTATTCTTACTGTTAATATCTCTGCAGCACACATTTGTGCCACTAAACTCTTTATTGCTTCCATATGCCAAGCAGTTTCCCAGAGTTTGCTGTCATGTTTGAGAGGGTAGCTATCAAGTGCTATCGTGACATTGCTTCTAGACCAGTATTTCCACATTTATAAATGAAGAAACAGCTCAGAAATCATCACCTGTAAGACCACAAAGCTGCTAACATATACCTGGCTCTTATGGACTGCATGCCAGTCAGTCTCCAGATTCATTAATGCTTATTGTTTTCATCTATTCATCTGAGTTAGACACTCTACCTCAAGGTGAGTGTGATGCCACAAATAGAGAAAACTAAGTTAGGTAATTGAAGGCCAGAGTGAAAGAAAACAGAAAATAGGAAGTTAATAAAATAATAATGGTGGATAATAAGCTAAAAATTTTGAGAAATTACTTATAAGTGTCTGATACTGTTCCAAGAGTGTTTTCAAGGGTTATTTCATTTTAGCCTCCTCCAAATTTTATCAAGTGGGTTTTATTTTCAAAAATGATTTCTACTTTTATGATATAAAGAAATAGGTATAGAGAGACTAAGCATTTGCCCATGTTCTCACTGCTAGTAACTGGCAAGATTAATATGTAAACTCAGGCTTACTACAAAGAATTGACTATATTTTTTCTAGAAGCAGGCTTAAGAATTTTGATTATGTGAAATATTTTAACAGATAAGTAGTTCTTTGTGAATCCTGTGACACAGAACAGAGCATGCATTTGTGTGTCTACAGATTTTTGGCAGAGATTATTTTGCTGAAAGAAGCAATACTTAAGGGCAAATAACTAACATAACATATTTTGAGTCTTCTAATGGGCATTTCTAATGGGCAAACGTGTTTCTATGGTAACTAGTATAGGTCATATGAAGGGTGAGGGAACAATTAGAAGGGATAGCTGTTGCTTGAGAATGTTTTAAATAATTTTCCATTGCAAATTTACGCTCTTATGTATACCTTATATGCTACCAATTTGACCTTTTGACTCTCTGAAGCTGTAGATTTCTGGGAACTCTGTGAACTTGAAAACTGCAGTTACATGTTAATAAAACCAATTTTGAAATAAATTGAAGGAGTTAGGAGCTATGCTTTTAAATCTGAGGTCTCTTCAGGGAAAATTACAGTATCCTGATTGGCAAGTTTTAAAGGCCTTCATGTTGTTTTTCAAGTATCACATCTCTCAGATTAAGACATAAGAGGCAGATTAAGACAGGAGGGCTAACATGTATTACACCCCTGTACGGACATAGAATAACTTGAGGCCTCTGATAGGCGAAAAACCTGAAGGGATTTGAATCAGCTTCCCAAGTGAGATTCCAGTTTCGGGAGGATTTACATATTAGTGATCCAGAATGCCACTGTTTAATTTCTTAGGCTGGGATTGGTCGAGAGAAGGAAGTGAGCAATTGCAAATCTGAAAACTCAGATAGGGGAGAGGCCACTGATCTTACTCCCTTCAGTGAAGGCCTTCTAGGTAAGAAAAACACACTTCTCTCCTCCTGTTGTTCATGTAAGGATCTAGCCAACATTGCTCTAGGATTTTAGGATTAGTAGAGTGTTACTTATCACTTAACCAATGACTTAAGGAAGGTTTCAGACAGAATTTACTCAATGACATAAAAACTATGTAGTGAACAACTGAATGCATTCTGAAGCCCATCAAAGTTAATTTTGTAATCAGTAGACATAAAAGAATGTTGATTGTGTCTCTTCTAAGAGTATATAGTCTTTTTGTCCTTAACTGAATTGGTTGTGCTGACAACCAACCAGTGGCAATGAGGTTTAGGGGAGACAGAACCAGAAGATGGACTGGCCTTCTTTGCAAACTCCAGTCAGGTCTCGGACTAAAAAGAAGACTGGCATCATGCCAGCTGGAGCTTATTCCTCTCCCCTTTTCACTTCCCAGCTACTTAAATAGTTGTTTTGGGAAGACACTTCCATTCTAGCTCAAATGCAATGTTTCTGAAAAAATATAAGCCCCTCATACTAGTGATATATATATATTTTTTAAAAGATTTATTTTTATTTATTTATACAAGCACTGGGTACAGTCAGAAGCACGGGAGAGTGAGAGAATTCACCAGAGCCAGAGCAGGGAGCAGAGCAGGCAGAAGGACCGAAGGACACTGCTGAGGGGAGCAGCGGGCGGCAGGAGAGGTCTGCGCGCCATGTGGGACCCTCCTCTGGTGGCCGGGGAGCAGCCGGGGATTGAACCGGCGCTGCAGAGGCTGCGGGCAGCTTCGCAACCCAGCGCTCAACCGCTGCACCACCGGGGAGGCCCACTAGTGATATTTTTATTTTGCCATTTGCAATCTCTTTTCTCAAGACTTCACAAGACAAACTAGTGAATATTAGGGAAAATTTAGATATGTAACTTCCATTAGAAGGGACCACATTCCAGTCATTTACATTGTAGCTACAGCTCCTTACTCGTGACTCCTGCTTGTATCTTTAGAATATTTTTCCTTTCTACTAAATACTATAACTGTTATGAGTCAATTGAGTTTTATGGTTATCTAAACTAACGCCTGATCACTTAGATGTATGAAGGAGAATGCTTCATTTCTTCACTCACTCATTCAACAGATAAAAGATTGAGCACCTTTATGTGTCTGGGAACTAAAGTTAATAACAGTTAATATTTACTTACTATTAATTAAATGCTAGGGAATGTTAGTATTTTATTTAATCTTCACAAGAGCCCTTTGGGACTCTATTATGATGCTAATTATGTAGGTGAAAGAGCTTTGAGAGTTTGATCAACTTGATTGAGAACACAGCTAAAAAGTGGCACAAGTTATATGTGAATCCAGACAGTGGGACTCTATGGTCAAACTGCCTGGATTTTTTTTTTTTTTTTTTTTTTTGTGGGACCCTCACCGGAGGCCGGGGAATGAACTGGCGCTACAGAGGCTGCAGGCAGCCTCGCAGCCCAGCGCTCAACTGCTGCGCCACCAGGGAAGGCCCAAACTGCTGGATTTTATGCTAGTCTCTTAAATATTATGTAGACAAGTTCCTTCTCACAGAGGGTTTAGAGAACAATATAAAATTATTGGTATGATATATGATTTTAAATATCCAATTCAGACCAATCAAATCCCCCCAAATTTAATAATATATATGGCTACCCCTGCAAAACTTTGACCCAAAACCAAATTGAAATTGTGTTTGAGTAGTTTTACCACAAAAACACCAAGATCATTAGTATTGGGGAGAGGGTCTTGAAATCTTTTTCTTGAAGACTTAAGGAGAAGCAGAACATGGGTGACAGTTTCTAATACCCATGCCTCTCAGTTTTCTACTCTTTGACACAAAAAAGTTCCATGAGTTCTCACTTAGTATATTTTACAGTGCTCATTACCTAGTAGGATAATGATCAGTCTCAAATTCATAAGAATGAAGTAACAGTGTCCTGTTCCAAACAGTATCTTATTTGGTTATATTTCAAAAGAATCCTGGAAACTAACTAGGGTAATTCTCATATGTTATAAAAATTTCGCTATTCTATTTATATCCCTCTTTAGTTTTTTAGTCTCCTCTGTAAACACTATTCTCTTGCATCTTTTGAGTGGTTATTCTTTCTCTCATAATGCTTTCTGCCACACTACCAGGGAGAGGAAGGAGGAAATAAAAGTTTTGTAGGTCGCCTCTCCCCTGGTCAGTGTTTACAGATAGGTCAGAGTGAGTAGACCCTGAACCTCAGTGTGGCTGCTTGTTTGAGGACTTTTATGACACATCAGCCATGAAATGTTGAGAAATACTGGGGGTTGCAATTATGAATAGCAGTAGCAATGATGTAGTGGAGGCAGATTCAGGGATATTTTCGAGGTAGACCCTGCAGCCAAGTTGCATTTAAGTGTGAAGGGATGCACATGTGGATAAAGACAGTCTTATCTGTATCAAAAAGCATTTGCTATAAAACTACTGCTCTGAGAAATAACTGTGTCTGGCAACATACAAGGGGAAAATGGAATCAGACACATGGTTTTCTAAAAAAAAGACCTTAGCATTTTTTTTTTTTTTTGGTATTTTTACATGATAACATCAGAGTTCTTGCTAACATATTGATCTAATTGATGCTTCACTCCTTAAAAATGTCCAGTGACTTCTTGTTACCTACAGCATGGGGTTTAAAACTCCTTAGCATAGAATACAGGAGTTTTCACAATCTGGCTCCATCAGAACTACTCCACTCCAATCAGTTTCCTACTCGCTTTCTATTCCTAGTCTCTTCATATGTCCTACACATCCTCATTCCAGCTATCTGGAATTTAGTCATTCACTGAAGATAACCAAGCTAATTAAAATATCTGTGATTCACCATATGCGGTTTTCTTCTTGACATGACTTCCTTTTTTCTTTACTGCTCATTCCTATGGAATCTCCTGTGGTCCTCTGCTGGGGAGCCTTCCTCCCTTTTTCCAGATACACTGAGTAGCTTCCCGCACTGAGTAACCACAATCAGTGCTTACATATCTTTTGTGTGTAGACAAATATTTGTTCATATTTCGTTTATCAGACTAAGAATCCTACTAGAATAGTGATTTTTGTTTTACTGACTCTATATTGGCCAAACCTAGTAGCCTATTTCCTTGAACTTGGAAATGAAGAATGAATGACTAAGTCTTAATTCCTGCTTTACTTTTAGTACTTCTTAGACAAGAAATGACCATAACAAACAACAACAACAAAAAGGAATTTGAGGGAGAAGGTAAAAATGTTCTACTTTATGCACTACCTTTTCCAGTAAAGATCTACTCTCTCTGTTCAGAATGCCCCACATGTGTCATTGCAGAAACACATTCTCCCAGAGGTAGTTGAGGAGAAGAAAAAGAGGGGAAACCAAGAAGTAAAGTGGGTTTTCTCTCCCTTCTGAATTCTACCATTACCAAACACTAGTTTTCATGCTTTTGGCCTTTTCCTCCTGAACCCACTTAGAAAAATAAGTTTTATAAAAGAGTAGTGGTCTGTGACACTATAAGAGTGGACTTAACTTAGCGTAATAATACCTTTTAGCAGTTGACAATTATATCTGCTGAAGTTCCCAGTTGAGCGCAATTGCAACCAACTTCCTTTTGGGTGGTAGCTCATATTTACAACTTCAAACAACTCATAGGGAGGGACCAAGACCACGTCCTTGAGAGAAAAGTATTGTACAGGTACACCCAGGCAGGTAAATATGGTAAATAGCGTTTGGTTTTCAAAATGTTGTGCCTCTTCTCTTAGGAGTGAGGTGGAGAGGAATTGGCCAAATCGAAGCAAGGCACCTATGGAGGCTTCCAAGTAGACATCCTTTGCCTCATAATATACCTTATAACACAGAGGGTCATTCTTCGTGACAATCTCTTTCCTCAGGAGCTGGATTGCTGAGGTCAGATAGTAGTGTAGATATTTGAAATGGAAAGACTGTTCATACTTCTCTGGGGAGCTACCCACACTGCTCATGGCTCTGGTGAAGTCAGAGCGAACATTGTTGTTCAGTGTATAAATCATGAGGGCAACAGCATGTGTAACAGTCATGTTCTCAGGGAGAGGTTTTGCTTGGTTCAGCCAGCTTACGTGGGCATTCTGCCATACCTTGGAGTAATTCCTGTAGATTTCTAGTTCTTTTGAGAAATAATCCCCTTGATTTAATTCCTCCATGATCTGTTGGTCACAACCCTGGTACTGATCATCAAAGGAATCTGGTGACAAGTCAATGTATGTTTTAGATGCAACCTATAGGAAAGAAAGATCTTGATTTTAATTTTTCAGATCAGTTGGTTAATGTGATTTCACATCTACTGTACTCTATAAGGTGAAGTTTTTTAAAACCAATATTTGCTGAAATGTTTTACTCATAAACATACGCTGCCAGTTCTTCCTGATTCAGTGACCTAGCCTCGAGATTGAATTTAATTTGATAAATATAACTGAAAGCTTAAGTAAACTCATTTCCCCAGGGAGAAAGAGACCCTTTTTGACCAAGATCACAGAATTTTTGTATTTGTACTTTGAAAGAAAAAAAACTTAAAGGTTAAATTATTAGTTTTGTTTCCTCTGCCAGTTTCCTTCATCTTCTCTCCTGCTTGTTTTAAGGATTGTCTCTTTTATAAATAAATACAACATATATTAAGTCTTTGGACATTAGTTTTAAAAAGACAAGTGATGGCATAATGTTGGATTTTTCAAGTGGGATCCCTCTATTTAGAATCTGAAGAACGAAAGAGCAAATATGAAGGCTAACATACCATTTTCACTACGGTACAGGGCCATGATGGAGCACACATTTTTAGGACTGATAATGAACAAATGGGCTTGTGAGGCCTGAACCCCAGAAGAAGGCAGAGTTGCATGTCCAGGTGCAGGCAGTACTGGATTGTGGCTTTCCTGGGTTAAGTTCCTATTATGGAGAAACGCAGAACTCATGCCCTTTGCCGCAGGCTAACTTACAGGAGGAGCAGTCACTCAGGGTACCCAGTTCTTCCGACATTGCCAGTAAAACAAATTTTCCCATCTCCAGGACAGTAGAGAGAGTAGTTGGGCAGAGGTCAGGCATGTGCCGAGGAAAGTCATTCCTCTTGGAAATCAGGAGTGGAAAAAGATATTTTCATTTGAGCCATCTTTGAACTATCTTAAATTCCAGGATGTTTCCTACTGGCAAGGAACTAATGCGTTTCTAATAAACTGTACTCATTAAGGAATATAGTAAAAAGATTCCATCCATTCAATGTCAAGGATGTTGTGACTGGAAGTAACTTATCATTTTGTATTTTTACTCTTATTTAGAGAAATAATCTAGCTGATTATAAAGTGGAACTAATTTTTAAGGCTACTTTACAGATTTTAAGCAATAACGCTTTACAGCAGGTATAAAAATAGGTCTACAGAATCTATTTATGCCAAAACCAAACCAAACCAAGCCAATATCATGTTCTGTCAAATTTCATTATAATGAACTCTAAAGCTTTTTAATATATTATTAGATCCCAGATATGTTCTGATGTCTTAAAATAAAGTTATTTTTCATTATATAGAACTTTACAGTACTACTTTTAAGATGATTTATACCATACATTCTAAAACCAAATTAGACTGGTTAATTTTATATTATTTGTCCTACACTAGCAGTTGTTTCCTTAAATTTTATGGAGAAACAAGAAAATAATACTGTGCCTCTAGTATGAACTGTAAAGAATTACACATTTTTAATCATTGCTTTTAATTCTCTTTGCTAGTGTTATTTAAATGTCTGAACAAAAATAGATCCCAAGTGCCTAAAGTTGATTTAAAAGTTTTCACCAGAAGAGTGCTCTATTAGAGCATTTATCAGGACGAGATTACCTCCTTAGTTGTGCCCTACCTTAGAACTTGCTGTGGGTCTCTGCAGGCCAGAGAGCAGCAGTAGCAGGAGAGGAAGCTGCCTTTGGAGAAGCCAGATTCCCATTGTGGGGGCTGCAGTAGTTGGGAGAAGAATCCTCTTGCATCCTTTGGTCAATGAACAGCATTTGTTTGTGTTAAGGGTACGTTGCTCTTGAAGCTTCATCCTGAAATGAGTTTTCAGAGTTCTCCGTTAGGGTTGTCTTTGGATAATTCTCAGCAGGAATCTGCTTTGCTCATGTTTGTGTTGAGACTTCCGTTGACCACCAATAGTTAGCAATTTTTCTGCAAGAGTTTCTGAGGGAAATTCCAACTCATTTATCAAGCTGAACTCTCTGAAGTAGTCAGACTTATGCACCCAAAATACAGCGCTCTAAAGTGAACCCATTAGTCTCACAATTAAAAATTTTCCTGTGTATGTGTGGAATTCCAAAGGCCTGTTAAGGGTCAGGCTCAACTGCTCAGTCTTTATTTTTGCAGGCAAGCAGGAAAAGCACACGCTGTACAGTGTTTGAGGCCAAGCGGCTTTATCTTAAGCTCCAGGCTTCCATTGTGAGTAATATGATTGGCTCTTGCTAGGCCACAGGACAATGCTCCCTCAAGGTGGGTCTGAGTCAGGCTCATCTGGTGCTGCTGATAGGCTCTGTGTGAAGTGGTGCTGTGAAGCAACATGCCTTTTATGGTTACTTTCAAAAGAAGACTGTCTTTGCTATTTTTCCATGGTACTTTGAAATTCTTCAGTGTAGAAATTGTACCTATTGGGGTCACAATTCTTTCCTGTTTTCTCTTCTGAAGATATCAGATCCTCTATCCACACAATCTGGTCTATAGTGACTCCTAATGATGAGAGTTAGAAGACAGCCTCTGAACAGCTGCCATCAATCAAAAGTTGGCTCCAATGTGCAAGTTCATCCAACATGGATGTTCTATTCAGATCTCTCTTAGGCATTTCCCTTTCCAATGTGAACATCCTTTCTCTAGTCCCAATTTATGGGGTAACTGTTTTTCTTGCAAATCTTTCCCAGTTACACTTTCCAATTTGTTATTTAACTATAAAGGGACACAAATCCTCTTCTTGAAAATTCTGTGATTTTCTTTTAGTACTGTAATATTTTTTAATCTAAAATGTCTGGTGATCATAGCAGTTCTCATTACAGAAGTTTAGAATATCTTGAAAAATGTAAAGGATGAAACAAAATTATCCATAACTCATCTTCTGGAGAAAGCTACTATTGGTCACACACACACACACACACACATTCTAAGACTGAAATATAGCATTTCAATTTTGCATTTTTCCTTATATTTTAATGTAAACATATACCTGCATAATTTAATAATGAAAACATTATTTTTTATGGTTGCACAGTATTCCATAATAGGTGCTACTATGCAATAAAATGTGATAGATCCAGAAGACTGATTAATGAATAAAACATGGACTCTTAAAAAAGACACCTCAGTTCAATACCTGGCCCTTACTTCTTCCTTAGTGTTTGATCTTGGGAAAGATACTTAATCTCTTAGTTCTTCATTTTCCTTATGTGTTAAGTGTAGATAATAATAGTGCTAACCTCATTGAATCCTTTGATACATTCATAGCCCTTAAAATAGCATCTGACACAGAGACAGAAGAAAGACATTCCATGCTCATGGATGGGGGAATTAATATACTGAAATGACCATCTTGCCTAAAGCAAAATACAGATGCAATGCAACCCCTAACAAAATTCCAGTGTTTATCTTTTTTTTTTTTTTTTTTTTAAAGATTTATTTATTTAGTTATACAAGCACTGGGTACAGTCAGAAGTGTGGGAAGGTAAGAGAATTCACCAGAGCCAGAACAGGGAGCCGAGCAGGCAGAAGGACTGAAGTACACTGCTGAGGGGAGCAGCGGGCAGCAGGAGAGGTCTGTGTGCCATGTGGGACCCTCCTCCGGTGGCTGGGGAGCAGCCAGGGATTGAACCGGCTTTGCAGAGGCTGTGGGCAGCTTTGCAACCCAGCGCTCAACCGCTGCCCCACGGGGGAGGCCCCCAGTGTTATCTTTCAAGGAAATAGAATAAATTATTCTAAAATTTTTATCAGAACTGCAAAAGACCCCACATACTGAAAGCAACCTTGAGAAAAAGAAGAAAATGGTTGCATCATGTTACCTTACCAAACTATACTACAAAGTGACAGTAGCATGGGATCAATGGAATTGAATTGAGATCCAAGAAATAAATAATACACATATCCACACCTAATTTATGACAATGGAACCCTGGCCATACAATGGAGAAAGGAAAATCTCTTTAACACATGGTGTTGAGAAAACCAAACAACCATATGTAAAAGAATGAAATTGAATCATCCTCTAATTCCATACATAGAAATAAATTCCAGATGGGTTAAAGGCTTGGATATAAGGCCCCAAACCATAAAATACATAGAAGAAAAAAATAGGCAATATGTTTCATGACGCTAGCCTTAGAAATGTTTTTGGGAACTGGACCTCAATAGTAATGGAAACAAAAGCAAAAATAAGTAAGTGGGGCTACGGCAAATTAAAATGTTTCTTTGCAGCCAAAAAAAAAAAAAAATGTCAACAGAATGAAAAGAGAGCTTACTGAATGGGAGAAGATGCTTGTACAGCATACATCTGACAAGAGGTTAATACGCAGGGTATAAAGAATTTATACAACTCAACAACAAAAAACAAAATAGCCCAATCAAAAAGTGGGCAGAAAATCCCCCAAAAGGCAGTATAATTGGCCAATAGGCACATAAAAAAAATACCCATTGTCATTTATTCTAATAGAGGAATATGGATCAAAACCCAGTGAGATATCATCCCACACATGCAAGAACGGCTTACATCAAAAAGATTGGTAAAAGCAAGGGTATAAGAAACCCTTGTACATTGTTGATGGGAACGTAAATTGGTGTAATCATTTTGCAAAATGGTATGGAGTTTCCTCAAAAAATTAAAATTAGGGGCCTCCCCTGGTGGCGCAGGCCATTGAGCGCTGTGCTGTGAAGCTGTCTGCAGCCACTGCAGTGCTGGTTTGATCCTGGCCGGCCGGCGAGGGTCCCACATGGCATGGCAGACCTCTCCTGTCTCGCCCGCTGCTCCCCTCAGCAGTGTATTCCGTTGGTCTGCCTGTTCTGTAAAAAAATTAATATTAGAAATTTCCTGTGATCCAGCAATACAACTTCTGGTTATCTAGCTGAAGAATATGAAACAATTAACTTGAAAAGATATATGCACCCTGTTTTATTGCAGCACTATTTATAACAGCCAAGATAGAAGCATTGATAGATGTTGGCTAAAAAGATGTCCATTGATAGATGCCCATTGATAGATGCTGGATAAAGAAGATGTAGTATATATGCACAATGGAATATTATTGAACTATAAAAAAGTGATGAAATTTTGCAGCAGAATGGAGGGAATTTGATGGCATTATAAGTCAAAAGGAGAAAGACAATTATCAGATGATCATACCTGTATGTGGAAAATAAGAAAACAAAACAAATGAATAGGTAAGACAGAAATATTAATAAGCCAGTAGAGTTAGAAAACAGGACTGAGGTTACCAGAGGAGAAGAAGGCAGGGAGTGGGAGCAAGGGTGGAGGGAGTTTGATGGGAAAAGAAAAGAGAAAAACCAAAATTTATTGAATATTTTATATTTCACTAATTCAGCTTTGTTCTATTATAAGTAATAATTTGCAAACATATTTTGGACTTAAGTCTTTGCTTTTCTTTTTGTAATTTTGAAGACACAATTCTAGATTTGTGACCACTGATCAATGGAATGCCTGTATTTGGAAAGCTTGAGCAATGTATGAAAATATCCCTTTAATGCTTTAAAATTCTTAAGATTCCTCAGTATTAACTGTTAATTTGGGCTATTGAGGCATCATGAGGAGTAGAATGGGAGTTTTCAAACTTGTATTATAGGTCTAATTCTACAACTTGCTGACTGAGTTAACTTAAAAAAAAAATAAGCAAATTCTAGGTCTCAATTTCTTCTACCTTACAGAGTTGTCAGAAGTAAATAAAGTAAAATGAGAGTGTGCTGTTCCTCAAGAGCCTTTAGTATGTTATCTCAATCCACAAGACAATTGTGAGGAGGTATTTTCACCTCCATTTTACTGGTGTGAAGTTAAGTATCTTGTCAGTGATCACAAGCACTTTCCTTTCTGTCCACTGTCTCCCAACAAGTCAAAGGAGTGTTGTGACAGCCATTTCTGGAGTAAGACCATTAGAGGGCAGCAGGAACCAGTATAACTTTTTTATGCAACTCTAGGCCTTAGGTGAGGGAGAGGAAGAAAGTGAACGAAGAGGGAGGGAGTGACATAGAGGGACTGAGGAATGGAGGAGGAGGGGACAGGGAGGGAGGGCGGGAGAAGGATGGGGAGAAAGAAGAGAGAGAAAGCCAATAATAAATGGGGTAGGGAAAGGCTGGACATCTGGGATATGCTTGTATACTTTTTGATTAAAATGAAAAAGAAGTTGTGACAATGCTTAGAGTTATTAAAAAAATCACAGCTTGCCTTACAGGCAATTTTATTATACTTCCTATGATGTAGGAACTTATTATTACTTTATTTCAAGCTTGTGCTCCATTCAGTTATCATTTTCTTTTTTTTTTTTTTTTTTTATAGAGGCATGCTTTATTTATTTGTTTTGCTGGTTTCTTTGTTTTGTTTTGTTTATACATGCACTGGGTACAGTCAGAAGCGCGGGAGGGCGAGAGAATTCACCAGAGCCAGAGCGGGGAGCAGAGCAGGCAGAAGGACCGAAGTACACTGCTGAGGGGAGCAGCGGGCGGCAGGAGAGGTCTGCGCGCCATGTGGGACCCTCCTCTGGTGGCCGGGGAGCAGCCGGGGATCGAACCGGCGCCGCAGAGGCCGCGCGCAGCTTCGCAACCCAGCGCTCAACCGCTGCGCCACCGGGGAGGCCCTAGTTGTCATTTTCTTGATGAGAACCCAGTCTTTAAAATACAATCTATTTATACTATATTGATTAGTAAAGGGGTTGATGGGATTTGAAGTCACAGAGACCTGTGGTAAAATTTTGCTTCCATGACTTTTTAGCTTTTGTGAATATGAACAAGACACCTTCAATCTCAATTTCTTCATATGCAAAAGTGGTCATGATAACACCACTCTTGCATGGCTGTATTGACAATGAAATGGAGACACGATATATAAAGTAGCATGGAATTATCTCTGAACTACACTGACTCAAAAACAGATTGATTAATGAACAGAACATGAACTCTTGAGAGACACACACCTTGGCTCAATTCCTAGTTCCATCACTTTTTTTATGTTCGATCTGGACAGGGCACTTTCTTCTCTGTTCTTTAGATCCCAAAGTTTCCTAATGTCAGTGTCACTTAGTAGATGCGCAGTGTGTTGTCTCTCTTTAGACTTTACTCAGAAATTTGAAGATCAACAACTCACAGTGTTTCTGAAAAAGTTACTTTTTGTTAATGTTTAAGTAAACAT